GCGCTGTAAAGAAAGTGGGCTGTCAGCTCAGCCAGCAATCCAGTCCGAGGTGGAAAAGTCACTTCAAATGGTTTTACACAGCTGCATCTTCTGTTTGCTCATTTGTTTTCCCTCCTTTCTGACTGACCTCCAGACCCTGAAATCTATATTCAATCTGCCATTTTTCTTGTTTCTACCAGAACTGATGTTTGGACAATGGTTGAAGAAACAGGAAGAACTCAGAGATGAGCGAGACCCAGAATTTGCACCACCTTCTGAGTACTTCCTGGGACAAAAGAAAGGTGATAATTACAGAAGTCAGAATTCAAAACAGAATGAAGCCTCCTCTGAAAAACTGGAACCAGAGACAGCACAAAACCCAAGGATGCCGTCAGTGCAGGCCAACGGCAGCAGCGCTGGAGAAGGGCCACCTCCCCTGCAGGCTTACAACAGCAGTGTTCGATGTGAGTCGGTATCAGCAGCGCCCTGTAGCAGTAACACTCAAGCTGCACCATCATCATCGGAGGATGACAGCAGTGATGAGGAGGATGTGCCACCATCAGCACAGGCTTATGGTTACGGTGCTCAAGGTGTGCCACCGCCAATGCAGCCTTATGGCTATGGTGCTCCACATATGCTGTCATCAGTGCAGGCTTATGGCTATGGCACTCATGATGTGCCATTTCCAATGCAGCATTATGGCTACGGTGCTACAGGCATGCTGCCACCAATGCAGGCTTATGGCTATGGCACTCACAGCATGCCATTCCCAATGCAGGCCTACGGCTACGGCACCCAGGAGGCACCTCCAGGAATGCAGCCTTGTGGCTGCAGCACCCAGGATGCGCCTCCAGGAGTGCAGCCCTATGCTTGCGGTGCCCAAGATGCTCCTCCAGGGGTGCAGCCCTGTGGTTACAGTGCCCAGGGTGCAGCTCCAGGGGTGCAGCCCTGCGGTTACAGTGACCAGGATGCAGCTCCAGGGGTGCAACCCTGCAGTCACAGTGCCCAGGATGCAGCTCCAGGGGTGCAGCCCTCCGGTCACAGTGCCCAGGATGCAGCTCCAGGGGTGCAGCCCTCCAGCCACAGTGACCAGGATGCAGCTCCAGGGGTGCAGCCCTCCGGTCACAGTGCCCAGGATGCGGCACCTTCAGCGCAGCCCAAAAGCAGTGATGCTCAAAATCGGGAGCCACTTTACCAAAGTCTAGATGCTATGCTGTCATATTACAGACAAGTGACTTGAACTGAGCAAAACACTAAGCAAGAGTTGTGATGTGAAGAACTGAAAGACAATTACCTTCTGGGCAGGAATACTATTTTCTTGCATCTGGGAAAAGTAAGTTGCTGTAAGGAGATCAAAATAAACCTGGAGACCGAAGCTAGTTTACATCACAGCTGAGCTTCTGCCCTGCTGGTGGTTCTTACTAAAATTACGTGGTATTTTTTGTGCACTAGTCAGTTTAGTACATATTTAATTTTAACTCTTTGCCATTTACACAGGAACTTTGCAGTATATTAATGCCTTTCTTTCAAAAGATGAACTCTTCCTTTACTCTGTTGCTCCCCAGCTAGTGCCTGCTCTGAAGGCACTATGTGTGCAGTACTACCTGTAGGAACAGTATTGAAAGGGCAAGCTCTCTGCTGCTAAATACAGGATGGGTTTAGGAAATTTGTTATCTACTGAATCTCCTGCCTTTAGGAAGTATAGAATATTATCTAGTGAACAGCGGTGTTTTGTACAGTCCTAATGGCTTCTGCATTCCTGAGGTCTGTGTATAACTTGTAATTCTGTGGAGCAGATTGGAGCAGAGAGAGGCATTGCAGAGATCAATAACTAATGATGGTTAGACTACGAATAAATGCTTCACTAAAGCAGCAGTCTTGACACTTGAAATTACTGGCTCGCTGGTTCAGAAAATGCTCTTAAACTGCATCTCTTGTGTCATCTATTTATGGCTTTATTTAATACTTTTCTCTCTAAAACCTGTAATATCAGAATCATTATATATAAAAGCGGACTAACCACTCCATCAAGCTTTTATTTCAGAATGGAGAATAATACCTATTAACCATGTCCTGGCAGTTGTTCGTGTCCCACCTGGT